TGTAACTAAGCCTAACTTGAACAAATTTCGATCAAAGGCTGGTTTGGCAAGTGGCTTGGCGAGCGTATCAGCTAGTTGGTCAGTAGAATGAACATGAACAACTTGAACCCCCTTCTGTTGAACATGGTTGCGCACAAAGTGAAAGTCCACCTCAACATGCTTCATGCGACTATGAAGGCCTGGATTCTCGCTTAGGTAAGTGACACCAATGTTGTCACAGTAGATTGTGGGAGTATCTTTGATAGGAAGCTTCATCTCAAGCAATAGGTTTTTCACCCATAACAGTTCAGCAAGAGCGTTGGCAATAGCTCTATATTCTGCTTCAGTTGATGAGCGAGCGGCAATTTTCTGCTTTTTTGAAGACCAACTGATGGGGTTACGATCAAGAAACAGAATATAGCCAGATGTGGAGGATCTGTCAGTGAGATCTCCAGCCCAGTCGGCATCAGAATACATGTGCAGATTAAAATCACAATTTGGGGATACACGGAGGCCAAACTGGATTGTACCACGAAGATACCTGAGAACACGTTTCACAGCTTTCCAATGTAGGTCTGATGGTGATTGCATAAATTGGGACAGTTTATTGACCGCATAGGAAATGTCTAGCCTTGTAAAGGACAGATATTGAAGTCTGCCTAGGACTCGGCGATAGCGAGTTGCATCTGTAAGGTCAGCCCCATCATTGAGTTTGAGTAAGTCGGAGTTACTCATTGGTGTTTTAGCACTTTTACAATCAGACATCAATTCTACACTTAGAATTTCATTGATATAATTTGCTTGAGATAGACTAATGTCATCTAAACTGCGAATCACCTCAACGCCAAGAAAGTAATGAAGGTTTCCCAAATCTTTAATTGAGAAGCGAGAAGCAAGGGAAGCTATAACCTCATTCACAGTGATAAGATTGTTGCCGGTGACGATGATGTCGTCAATATATACCAGAATGAACATGAAACCAGCGTTGCTGATCCTAACGAATAGAGAGTGGTCCGATTCAGTCTTGACAAATCCCATGTACAAAAGATGTCCTTTGAGTGCATTGTACCAAGCCCGAGGTGCTTGCTTCAGGCCATAAATTGCCTTGCGCAACTTCAAGATATGAGTCGGGTTGTTGGCACAAGTAAACCCCGGAGGTTGCATCATGTAAACCTCCTCTTCAAGATCACCTTGAAGGAATGCATTGTTGACGTCAAGCTGACGAAGGGGCCACTGAAATCGAAGAGCAGCAGCAAGAATGATTCGGACAGTGGTGGGTTTGACTACCGGACTGAAAGTCGAGTGAAAATCAATACCCGGCCTCTGAGTAAATCCTTTTGCAACTAGTCTCGCTTTGTAGCGATCAACCAAACCATCTGCTTTCCTCTTAATCCTGAAAAGCCACTTACATGAAACAACATTTTTAGAAGGATCATTTGGAACTAGTTCCCAAGTACGGTTATTCAGCAAAGCATCAAATTCTAATTTCATAGCTTTTCTCCACTCAGGGTGTTTCTCGGCTTGTTTGAAGGTATGTGGTACAAGTGAGGTTTCTAAATGAGCAAGGTAGTCAAAAATTTTCTTAGGTTTTTGAATGTTATTCTGTGAACGGGTGATAATACGATTGGGAGGGGAAGGGCAGCGGGAAAGTATGGGTTCGACTGGTGGTGCCGCTGGTTCGAACAGAGACAGTAGGAGGAGGTGCCATAGGTTTGGATTGGGGTGTTCTGCGGTGATACACTCGAAGTGGGGGAGAGATTTGTGAAGGTTTAGATGTAGAAGATGGTGAATTTATAGGTGTGTTGGGGTTTGGTGGTTGGCGGACAGTGGTCGAAGGTATCGGAGAAGATGGGCATGGGCAAAGAGACTCCTGGGCAATGGGAATTATAGAAGAAGAAGGAGAGAGAGGATTACATGGAGTTGAAGTCTTGGAAGAGTCCGAATTTGCTTCTGCCACTGGCATGCCGGAAATGGAGGATGGTAGTGGTGGGTCAATTTGGTCTGGGGAAGCAGATGTCATTTTGGTTTGGGGTTCTGCCACTGGAGTTGGTATTTCAATGTGGGGGGGGGGGGGTCTAAAATATTAGAAACATTGGGGGTGAGATTGGGTGTATTAGAAAATGCACTAGTTGTCCATTCCAGGTGCCTTTTTTGAATTGTAATATTAGAGAACAAAGTTTTGAAAGGAAAGTTATTTTCAACAAAATGCACATCACGGGATAAATAAATTTTTGATGAGATTGGATCAAAGCATTGGTGGCAGTGATGGGACAATGAAAAACCGAGATAAACACATGGGGTGGATTTTGGTTCAAGGTTTTTAGAGTATGGTTTAAGCCATGGATAACATAAACACCCAAAAATTCTTAGAGAAGCATAATCAGGTGTTCTACCAAATAATTTTTCAAAAGGAGAATTATTATTTAAAAGTGTGGTAGGGAGTCTGTTAATTAGATAGACCGCATGGTGACAGGCAAAGGACCAAAAAGGTGATGGGAGAGACGCCTCATGTAAGAGTGTTCGTGCAGTTTCAATAATGTGACGATGCATGCGCTCAGCAAGAGCAACTCTTTGAGGTGTATAGGGTGGAGTGGAAAGGTGTTCGATACCGTGAAGCGAGAGATAAGGGTCAAGACTTTTATACTCTCCTCCACTATCAGTATAGAGCGATAGAATTTTGGTATCGAAATATTTTCTATCAAGGGATGGAATTTTTGAGAAATGTCTCTGACTTCAGATTTATTTTTAAGTGTGTAGAGCCAAGTGTATCTTGTGTATTGATCAACAAAAATACAATAATATAATTTTTTATCAATAGATAACACAGGAGAGGGTCACCATAAATCATTGAAAATAATTTGAAGAGGTATAGAGCTTTCCAGAGTTAATGTGTGAAACGGATGCCGATGGGCTTTATTAGACAGACAAGAATTACAATAAAGAAACTTGTCTTTTGTGATTCGTGCAAGTTGGTCACGAAGGCTGAAGATCCGAGTCTGGGACTTGTTTGCATAAGCAGTGTGCAAGGAGTCCCAAGCATGTTTGGATGTGTTGGCAGCAGCAACTGTGGAAGCAATGGTAGGGTCAACAGACGCCATAAGAGCGTTCTGGATGAGTTGATCCTGACGGAACCAAAGTGTATAAGCAGGATTAGGAGTTGTATTGATGCCAAAAGTAGTGGTCGGTGTGGGAATCAGGGTAGACCCATCAAGGTGATCATAGAGATCATGGCCGTGCATAAGCATGGAGAATTGAGCTTTCCAAGTGGCAAAATTGTGACTGCCACTAAGTTTGATAGGTAGTTGGGAAGCAGGGTTTAATTGGATGATGGTTGTGGTGCCGCTAGTGTTGTCGGCATTGACAATTCTGGTAGTGTTTCCATCTTTCGTCATTGGAAAGAAGAAGAAGAAAAAAATATCGGATCGTGCTCGTTAGAGTTGTATAGGCTCGGATACCATATAAACACTCAAGAATATGATGGAAAACTGTATGTGTATTGAATGCCAAGCTCAGTTTAAATACAAGTCTTTCTAAGAGTACTCCTTGAATTAGGAGACTTATTCAATTCAAAACACTATCTAAAGCTAACTAACTGAATGATAAGTATGAACTAAAAGGATAACTCTAAATCTATATCTAATCTAAGGATAATCATGAAAGCTAATAACTAATCCAAAACAACTAGGTAACACTGTTGTTCCAATAAGTATAGATTTGTATAGCCAATTTAAAATTGTTCGGTATGATGATGTAGTTATTGTTATGGCAATATACTGATTCTAGTTGTATATGTTTCATTGATGTGGTATTCTTTTCTTTTTTATTGGTTTAAAAAAATACTTTTATTTTTATATTTAAAAATAATTTAACTTTTTTTTAGTTTTAACCCTAATACTAACATGCTTTTATAACTTTATAATTGTTATTATATTTTTAAAACAATAAATTTTAAATTATACGTTTTTGTTAAAATAGCTGTCCAATATGAATCTAACAACACATAAAATGGAACAACCAGGGAGTGATAGTTTATTACTTACTTTATTGTAATTGTAATAAAATTAAAGATTAAGACCTTAACGTATTCAAAGTTCCTATTAATCCGTCAAAGCAAACATATTACTACTTCTAATTAAACAAAACTAGATAATTTCAGCCAATCAGAATACAGCATCGAGGCCTCTCAATCCGGCACGAACTTCAAGTTCGAATAATAACCGTCCAATCATTTTTAGAAAACACAACTAACGCATTTAATAACCGTAGATAATGGATTAGAAAAGCACAGGGATAATCATTCTGAACCGTCAGATATACAATTTTGATAACACGATACCCTCCACAACACGTTATTATATATATAATCCTTAACCTCCACTCTTTGAGAACTTTTTCATTTTACAAAACAAAAAGAGACAAGAAGAAGAAAAAGAAGAAGATTTCATAAGAGGTTAGTCAGCTGTTTTCCTACTTATATTTTTGAATTTCTCTTGTATATATGATATATATGAAGAAATTGATCGGTTATATTTTCGTTATTTTTCTCTGTGGAAATTTTAGGGTTAGGGTTTCTGCCTATATATGATAACTTAGAATTGTAGCTGTAGCTGCATAAAGTTAGGGTTTTTACGGAATGTTTGATTTCTATAATATTTTAGGGATTTAACTCTTCTACTTTGGTTCCTATAATAGTTTCGGAGTTTGCTGTTCTTATTTAGTGATTTTAAAAAAGGAAAGAGATTGCTCCCTTTTCGTCAGAAAGAGAGTGCTTGGCTAGGATTCAACACTGTTTATCTTGTAGCAAATTTGAATGTGTTTTCCTTTGGTTTTCTTTTTTTGAATTTCCTAAAATATTAGGACTAGTCAGCTCTTTTTGACACTCATGTTATTTGGAACATTTGGAAAAATCATAGGAGAAAATGATGTTTTGCTCCAAGTAGCTATTATGATGTCATTCTTTTGGGTACATAGGCAGTATATAGTATAGAGTGATGTAATGTTCTTCGGATTTGTACAGTATGTGTGTCTTGATCCCCCTGGAAGACTAAAAGAATTTGGCTTTCCTGAAAAAAGTAAACTTACGGAAGCATCTATCTCTATCACGCACTTCAAAAATCATCTCAAAGCTGAAGTGAAGAAAAAAGCCAAGTTATTGCAAAACAGCAGAATTTAATTCTATAAGGTAGGGCTTTAGTTTTTCATTAGAAGCTAAGCCTAGAGTTGATTGACAGGTTAACCCCAATTTCAATTGCTATGGATTTTCCCCCTTCTTGTTTAGTGCAAGTTTGAAGTACTTCTCTTTATTTTGCGAGATTCTTGGTATGCTTTTCATGTATTAGTGCAAAATAGAGTCTTTCTCAAGTCTTTGTGCTCATAAGAGAATGCTAGTGTGAGACAACACTTTATTTTGGTGATAAATTGAACATGGATTTCTATTGTTCTGAACACATTTGGGAAAAATCATTGTAAAATTATATATTTCCCTCCAAATAGCTATTGCCATGTCATTCTTTTTTAGTCATAGTGAGTATATTGCATGAATCAATCTTATGTTCTTCAATTTGCTCATTTTGGGGGTTGTCTCTGTTTAATCATCAACTTCCTGTGGTGTAAGTTGAAAGTTAAAATCTTTCATTTAGCTTTCACCACCTTGTATTTAATCTTGTGAAATTCTGGGTGCCTTTCTTTTTTAATTTTAAAATTAAGTCTTCCTCATGTCTGGATTAAAATAAATAATTGTTTGACTATGGTTTTCAGATGGCTCGTACCAAGCAAACTGCTCGTAAGTCTACAGGAGGAAAGGCTCCAAGGAAGCAACTTGCTACCAAGGTCTATTTCCTTCTAGTTTATTCTTGGTCTTCACTAAAATGTTTTTTCCGTATGTATTAGTTTTTAATTTTGTATCTTATGTGTATTAGGCTGCTCGTAAGTCTGCTCCTACCACTGGTGGTGTGAAGAAGCCACATAGATACCGCCCTGGTACTGTTGCTCTTCGGTAAGTGCATTTTCTTAGATTACTTCTGGTTGTCCTTGGGGTTTATCAGTGTAAATTGCAGCTTAATTAGCATTATATGTTTGCAGTGAAATCCGTAAGTACCAGAAGAGTACTGAGCTCTTGATCAGGAAGCTTCCGTTCCAGAGGCTTGTTCGTGAAATTGCCCAGGACTTTAAGGTAGATTTTGTGGATCAATTATTTGGTTTATTGGTTCTGAATTTGATACTGTTATGGTAAGGAAGATGTGTAGCCTATGTTGTTTTCTGGTGATTGATCATTCTTTTTTGTATTTCTTCTGCTATTCAGACTGATCTGCGTTTCCAGAGTCATGCGGTGCTGGCTCTGCAGGAAGCTGCTGAGGCCTATTTGGTGGGTCTCTTTGAGGACACTAACCTTTGTGCCATTCACGCCAAGCGTGTGACAATTATGCCTAAGGACATTCAGCTTGCTAGACGAATCAGGGGCGAGCGTGCTTAATTTGATCTACTAGCTAGTAGCATTGTTGGTCCTTGTCTTTCTTTTCTTTGTAAGACGTAAAGACAGTAACTAAATCTAGTAGTAGGGCTTGTTGCTTTGAATTTGTTGGTGGCTGGCGGTGTGCTGTAATTTGTTGGTGTTTTGTTTTGGAGAAGGGAAAAACATGATATTTTGTTTGGATCTCTAATGTTTTGTTGTCACACCACTGGTGTCGAACATTGGTCAGCGTTTTCTTCTAATGGTTAGTTCAAGTGATTGTGATAATATATTATACTACTGTGCTCCTAGTAAACATAGGATGTATTTGTCCCAGTTAAATGGGATGGCCTGGATTTGGGTATTGAAAGTGTGGACTAGGTTTTCTGGTGCATCTGTTGTAGTAATCACTAACTCACTATTTTGAGATATTTGCATCTGATGCTACATCTTATTGAATTAAATCTGTACTTTGGTTAGGAAGGTATCACATTAGAAAATGTATGTATCCTTCATTTAGGATCTGGTTAACTCACTGCATTGCCACTAATCTCGAAGCCTCTATCACGCAGATCACCTTTGTCCACAGCATATTCTGATACTAATACAATTTCAATATGTTAGTACTTTCAGTACTGAAACCTGCTGTGTTTCAGAAAACCGCATGCAACAATTGTATCTTGAAAGCTTAAGGCTTATGTTTGTCAGTAGGGGTGGCAAACGGGTGGGTCAGGTCAGACATGGGACGGGTCAAAAATGGATAAATTATTCGATCCGATCCATATTTAATACGGATAAAAAACAGGTTAACCGGCGGATAACATGGATATGGGTAATCATATTATCCATGGCTTCTTGAATATGATCACTTTTGGGAGAATTTCTAGTCTACCTGAGGAACCTTTAACTTGAGGCTTTACAAATGTAAAAGTTAAACCCATTAGTTATCTATTGGTTACCCATTTTCTAAACGGATAATATGGTTCTTTATCCATATATGACATATTTTTTAAAAGTTTATTATCCAACCCATATTTTACTGGATAATATGAGTGGTTAACATTTTTATTTTAACCATTTTGCCACCGCTAATCAGTAGTTATTGGGGATAATAACAGAACTTATTTAATCTTAGTCTGATATTAATCCAACCAGTGAAAGCATTTATTAAATGAAAGAGTTCAGAATGTTTGCCGGCTCTTGGCGTAACTCTTTCAAAATTTTAGCCCCTAACGAGAAGATGCGATTCAATTGTCGTCTTAGCTGAACGGGCTGTTTCCATGGGGTAATTGCATCACATTAATTCACCTATCATAAACTAACAAGTATTACAAGAGGTAAAGAAGGTCATACACGAGTGTAATTAATCCAAAAAATTGCTCCTATGCACAATGCTATGAAGCGTTACGCTCTCCTTTTTACTTTTACTTATATCCATTCTAGCAGGAAAAAAAAAGGGTGATTATGGACATTTTGCTCATCATATCCCACACCCTCTCTCGCTGTTTTTCTAATAACCCCCCCGCCCCCCTCCCCCCC